AGTGTCCAGTCTCCAGACATTTTATTTTAACAGGGTGGTTAATTCAGCAGCTCTGATCTGCTGATGATCAGCTGAACTGACAATAAAACAAGTGACACTGCTGCAGAAAGACAGCACCTCACCAGACAAGGTTTAATGAATGCTTTGCAGTGACAGGGGCCCACCCCTGACCATAACACACATGGGCAGCCAGTACAGCAAAGAAAATTCCAAGTCCAGTTTGGATCTGCAGTGAAGAAGCATTTAAAAGAAGAGCAGGACAAACTCACCAACAGTCCCTGTTGGTGGAAGGCTTCTCAGGATTGCTGCTTTTCAAACAGATGTTTTCTTGTAGGTGTTTTGAGCTATTGAAGGTGTGAGCATTGATGAAAGACCAGTGAGGGATTCAGCAAAACCATCATGAGAACCTTTACAGGCTCCTCAAGTCTGTGTGCTAGTACTTTAGTTCCTGTCACCACATGTACTAAAATAGATCCCTCTTGGTTTGACTGTTGTGACAAAGAAGAAGTCATCAAGTATGTTAATGCTGGTGACAAAGTAATGCCACATGCAAATCAGGAACTGCCTGGCTTCGGTAACCGAAGCAGAGGAAGCTGCTGTTTAATGCCTACAGAGCTTAGCTGAAAAACAAGTTTACACTTCATCAGAATAAATATCCTGTAGGAAATAAGTTTATTCATTGAGTTTGAAAGAAGTTTTCGTGGCTGTGCCTGCTGGCGGGTTTACTAGTTTTAAGCCAAGTGCAGCAAGAAACCTCCTGCCAGATGCTCAGGTTTAGTCCAACTGCTGCTGATAAAGCCACCATGCAGTGAGCAGCAAAGTCAGATGTGAGCCCAGAGAGAGCTCCGTGCTGCAGAGGGGTACTTAAAAAAAACCACAAAATCAGAGCAATTCTACACACAGCCTTCACCAGTGACTTTATAGGAGTCTTTTACAGTCGTTACTGTGCAGAAAGCAGCTCTGTTTCAGAAATGATCATTCTCTCAAGAAAAGCTCAGAGATGCTTCTTTTCTTATACTTCATAAACACAAAAAACAGGGAGAGGAAGTTGAGAATGCGGGTTGGCATCGACACATCGGAGTGGGAGGCACACACATGCATTTGTGCAAGAGCCTGCAACAGGAAGGGAAAAGCTTTCTGAGCCTTCTGGCTTAGCCCTTCAGTCACCAGAAATTACGCCCAGCACTCCAAACCTAGTGAGGTTTTTCCACCTAAAAGCCCCCTAATGTGACAGCCTGTGGACCCAAGGCAGCACAACCACAGGGTTTAAGAGAACCAGTTCCCCCGGTTCAGTGGGAATTATGTTTCCACAGCCTGTCTTGGGCAGCTGGTATTTTATTTCTAGGCATCAAAATAGAGACAGAGAGATGCCAGGGAGAGAAGCTGTCCCTGTGAAGCACCAGCCCAGAATTCTTTGGAAGCTGCTCAAAGCAAAATCCTGTTTACGCAGCAAATATTGGATTTTACTTCACCCCTGCAAAAACCCCCCACCAAGTTATTGCAAGGAAAAATCCACCCCACCAGGCTTGCTTTTATACCCAGCTGCATAAACCACCAGCTCTCCAGCCCTGGGGTCCATGTCAGTGCAGGAAAGCCCCAAGGACCAGCTTCTACTTCACTGAGAACAATATTTTTCCAACCCAGCTACGCTCACTCAGATGTCCCGAGGAGGACAGGGGGAGGCCCCTACATGTTGGCAGTGCAAGAAGAAAGGATGTTATGAACTACCACAGCCAAAACGACTGGAGAAACCCCTGCAAGCAGCCTGCTGTTGGCATGTGCTACACCTGCAGCCTCCTGCCAACTCTGCTAGCCAGAGCACGTCCGCTCGCACAAAGCCCATCCTGGCCGCTCAGCACTGATGCCGATCCCTGCTGCATTCCCAGCTCAAGAAAAGCTTTCAGGATGAAGGGCTGAGAATTAAGTCTCTTAACACAAAAATACCCACAAGACTACAGGAAGCCCCAGCTGCTTAATTTATAGTGCTGTTGTGTACGGGGGCTGTGCTGCGTACTCCAAAGGAGGCAGGCTTGTTCAGAAAGGTCATCCCTTCAGCCAGAACAGCTGATACAGCTGGAAAATGTACTTAAGCTTTTGGGTCCAGATGCCTTTCCAGGTCACGCTGAAGCTTCCTGGCTGCAAAGCTCAGCCTGCTGTTAACTACAGCACCACTGACTGGAACAGGCAACTAAGAGGGGCAGAGTCCCAATAACTCCCATCTGTGGTTGGACTTTAAGTGACCGGGTAACGCAGCCCACTCTGCCCTGGGCTGAGCTGTTACAGAAGGGGCTGATTTTCTCTCAGATTCTGTCAGGTTTTCCTGGCATTAAACCCAGAAAGAAATTACATCCTTGTTTGTGGGACGCAGCCATCGAGATGACATCCCCACGGGCAGCAACCCCTGCCTACACCCCACTGCCAAAAGCTTCTGTGCCAGTTCAGAGCCACACTGAAATCCAACATTTCCAAGTTTCCACACAGATTCATTCCACCAGCATGTCTCCCACACTGAGCCCATTTGCTGCCTTCAGACCTCGCCTGGTTGTACTCAAGGCTTGGCAGCACTGCCCTGCAGTTTCAGTTGTCAGGGTCCCCTGTTTCTCATCCCCTCCCACCCAGAAGGAAATTCACTATTTGCCCTCAGCCCTCTTGAAGCTCTCTATGCATCTTTTTTATCTGACAAGAAGCCCATTGTGCTCTTTGTTACCTCTATGGATTTCATTCCCCTCTAACATCTGTGACAATTCAACTCAACAGCATTAAGCTGATGCTACGTTATTATTAAGAGGCTGCAAAGACATTTATTCACAAGGTAAGTGGGTGAGGCACATGCTAAAAATTCACCAAGGCTGCAATAAAAAAAAAAACCACCTCCCCTGAAAGCAGTGGTGAGGTCTGTGATTCTCATGAATCTCCAGATGGGTGAGACTCTGGTGGCTGCGACCCAAAAGGGTCTGTATCTTTTCATCATCTGAGGTCTGTGTACCTCCCACAGGGTAATTAAAAATCAAGTCTAACACCTATGACAACACTCCCACCTGAAGAGCCAAATTTGCAAGCTTAGCATAAATTTAGGATACCTCATCTGATGGCACTTTACTGTCTGGCTTGTGGAAACGCAGCCCCTGTCCCAGAAGGCAGACTGGTGTGTGCCACAGTGACAGCTGTCCTACAGCAAGGAACAGCCAGGGCTCCTCATCTGGAAGAAATTGTCCCATAGAACTAGGAGGGCTAAAAGCAGAGAGCTGCACAGATCCACGTGCTTCTAGGCAAGCCTGCAGACACAAAGCCTTCCTGATCTTGCCTCATCCCATGAATGTGTTCCAGAAACACTGCAGGCTGTGAGGTGGATGCTGCCTCACCCTCCTGTCCCATCAGGAGCTCCCCTGTCCATCAGTTGAGGCAGCTCCCCAGCAGCTTTACCCTCTGTACTATGGCATGGGAAGGAGCTTCTCAACCAGCCTCTCTCTCTTTTCACCTTCCTGCTTCCCACTTCCTCTTTTTGAGAGACATTTGAGAAGCTGATTCATGTTTTGATAACACTGGCTCCATATGCAACAGCCAAAACAGGCCTCTGGGAGCAGGGTAGAGAGTTATTTGCTGCACACTTTTGAGAAAAGTCTCTGGTTTCTTAATAGGCTGGCAATATTTAAGCAGGAAAGAGCCACATGCAGCTCAGTGCTCTGATGAAAAGTTATGGGTTGTCCCACCTGGAGTTATTTGCATTTATTTCCATCAGAATAGATTTTGCAGAATTCCTGCAAAAGCAACTGACTAACACTTGCAACACAGGTACAGGTCATTATTGAGACAGCAGATCTTTCTCACCTTATATATCAGAGCTGAAAGAGAAGGATCCCTGCCACCCCCTCGCCCACCGGGGATCTTCGACAGTGGGTGAGGGGCATCAGGAGCACCACAGAGGCCCTGGAACAATGTGCCTGCAGCACTGCAGCTGGGGACAGTTACTCAAAGGTAAAATACTACTGCAAGAGAAAGAGAGAGAACACCAGGTTACATGAGCAGGGATCACATTTCAGGTGCTACAGCTCCTTGTGACCCCAAACCACTTGTCCCTGCTCCTCGGCAGCAGGTCAGAGGCAGCTATCAGGGCTTAAGAGCCTGGCCATGGACATTAAAACCCCTTGCTGCCCAAGTCATACCAGGAACAGGCAGTGTTTTGTTAGAAATGGAGGAGGGGCTTTGAAACCAAGAACCCAGAGAGTGCTGAGCAACCTCATGCTAATAAGGGACGTGTGGAAGGCTGCCAATAGCAGATGGCTGGAAACCCATGACCAGATGAGCACACGTTTTCTATGGACAAATATCTACAAATAGATCAACAGGACCCAGAAGGAAGAGGTTTAAGTTTCACATTTCCAAAATGGGGAGTCAAAGAGCTGGTTCTTCAGAGATTTTTCAACATGCTTTACAATGTCTGAGTTGACATTTTCACATGCAACTGAAACATCCTGCAAGCATCCTTCACCCCAACCCTAAAAACTACAAGTTCACTCCACAGATGTACTTTTAGGAGCAAGAAAATAAGTTTCCCTTGCAGTTCCTGTTTGGATGTTCCACACCTGGTCTTTTAGGATCGCTTTGAGTACAGGCTTTAATATGTGCCTCGACTTTTAGAAGCTTCATGAAAGTAAATTATTTTATTTCTGGAGCATTGCTCCCTTTATCAGTCCCACAAAAGCTCTTTGCTGAGGCACTGCAGCAATATTCCTCTAACAAAGCCTGCAAAAGCCAGGCAGAGAAACAAGGAGTTCCCCAGCATTCCCATTTTGAAACACAACAGCACAAAGCTATGTAAGCACCTCCAAAACCAAGGGGAGTCAGAGGGTTTTCCATCCACATCCAGCATGAGGAACAAGGCTACAACTGACAGAGTCTGTAGATGTGCTGACAACTTAGTGTCTGTCCTGAAACTTCTCACTCAAGTTGTTCCCAAGACAGTGTTTTTCCACTCTAATCCCTCTCCACAAGGGAGCAGTCTTAAGTATCCAAAGACCAAGTACTGAGCTGTACTATCAAGATCGGCTGGCCTGCCTGTACAATATTCAGGAACATATCTCAGACTGCAAACTCCTGCATTTCTGCATGCCAAAAAATCGCTTGCAAATGCAGTTACAACACAGGCAGAACTTGGCTTGCCCTCTCCTACCAAAACAATCTTTCTACAGGAAACACAACCATTCTTCCTCGGGCTGTTCAGCAGTGTTCTCATGTGCCGTGGCCTCCAGCAGACACGGCTCCAAGAAACAGCTCTTTAAACACCCCAGGAAAAGATTTGAAGCAGTTGGACTGAAGATGTCTCAGGGCAAACCCCTTTGCACACATGCCCAGCAGCATTTGGTGTTAATACAGTCCCTCCTCACAGCACGGCTGGGGCTATCAATGGACCAGTGTGTATTCAGTAGTAGTGGATGTGGAGAGGCATGACAAAGCACTTTGCTGTGCAGTTCCCCACCCCCAGAAAGCTGTTGGCAGCTTTGTTATTCCCTTCCCTCCTCCCTCACCCCCCCAGTCAACAATGTACTATTGATAGCTCTTGCCAACTTGCGGCCAAGGAATCAAGAAGCTGGATAATGAAGTGTAGTTGTGGGAAAAAAAATACAAAAAAGAGGCAGGCAGTAGTTTTCATGCAAGGCAGCTCAAGACACTTCCTAGTTTTGCTTCCTCCAGCACATGCAGAAGTCAAAACACAAGGCTCCAGCTGCAGAGCCCTGCCTGCCAGCCGGGGCCTGACCTGGCCCAGACATGCACCCCATGGCCACCCTCCCCCAGCACCGGGCAGCAGCCAGCGGGGGTCCCCAGAGCAGCACGGGCAGGACAGTGAGCCTGTGAGTGGAGGGCACGGATTAAAAGAGGCTTTTATGCTTCCTCCAGATGCACGTTAGCACCCTGGGGAGAAGTTTGTGCAAGCACCCAACAGAGTCTGATCCCTCAACGCAGCTGTGCAGGAGCTCCCCATGGCAGCTCTGCTCCCCGAGGCCTGTTTGTAACTTAAAGATTAGGACTGTGCTCCTCCCTTCCAGCCTCTCTTCTCTTTTAAGAAGCTGCTTTCCAGCAGCTCAGTTTAGGTTAACATGCATTTAGGATCAGCAAGGGCCTTTCCTTGTCGAAACTCCCCAGCCAAAGCTTCTTGAGGGAGCCCTTCCTGAAAGGGGAGCTGGGAGCAGGCATGTGCTGCCAGGCAGCGGGTGTAATTTTAACTCGCTAAGCTCCCAGTGCTCTCAGCCCCGTGCCCAGTCCCTGGGAGGCACAAAGGACACCTCCTCAACTTTTGAACCCTGTCACAGCTGCTCTTCAACACCTGAAGCTCCAAGTGCTGCTGTGCTCCAGTGCTGCTCTTGGCCCATGACAACAAGCAGTACCTTGGGGGCCAGAAAGCTTCACATTTCCTTGGTTTTTGAGGGGTTTTTATTTGCACTGAACACTTGGGCCTGATGGAAGGATCCACACAAGTCCCTCGACATTGTGGGAATTAAGCTGTTTGTTTTCTGTACCTCCCTCTTTGATAACAGGCTCTGAGGTGGGTGCATGCAGCCCATAATAATACGGTATCATACTGCTGGGCACTGCAAGTCACACACTAAGGACCTGGTTTGAAGATCAACCTGCAAACAACCATCTGATGAGCACAGCACAGCCCAAGTATCTACAGCCAGGAACCAAGGCTGGTCCATACACACCCTCTGGGTGCCCTGAGGTGCCACCGAGACTCAGGAAATGACACTTTTTGGGACTCAGAACAAGGAACAGAAACGCAAGGGGGGGCCAGCTGTGTAAAAACACCCACAAAATCAGTTAAGATCACGCTGATAACCAGCCAGGATAGATCCCCTTTCCTTAGGGATGCAGGGGAACAGGAGGGCAGGAACCTTCCTCGGGATGAAGGGCTCATTAGTAAAAGGCTGCTCAGACAGCGGCTGCCGAGGTGCCCCCCGTGCCCAGCGCCCTGACACCCACCCGGGGCTGCCCCACGGAGAGGGGAGACGGGGGGAAGGGGGGTAAAGAGGGGGTGAGGGGGGG